TTTGTATTAGATCGCATCGTAAGTGGGTGAGGAATCTGCATACTTTAAAATGCATGAATTCTCTTTTCATTCTGCTGGAGCCTTCTGGAAGCAAAACTTTCATTGAATGCGAGAACAAATGCCAATCTTGCATATCAAGTTTCCTGAATTTCAAAAACGAGTCAAAAATCAAAAAAAGTTTTCATCATATTTCAGCTGTATCCAAGTATTCAAGTTTTGAATGGCAAATCGATGCTGGTGCCATGTGAGAACCTTGAAGTTTTTGATAGGTTTTCCCCCGAACGAAAAAAAAGAAGAAATAATCTGCTGATCGGTTTTGCGTAAAACTATACCAACTTTCCGGATGCTATCTGCAGCATTCAGCTCGAAAGTGTTGTTTATCCAGGGAACCTGCGCCCGCATCAGCGTTCCTTATCACCTCCAGCAGTCGTTGTGACACAACGCAACACCCGCCCTGCTTCCTTTTGCTCTGTCTGCATGCAGCGCGGCCATTGTCAAGTGCACAATGCGCACATTCAAGATGGGGAGGTGTTCAGCCATTCCAAGCATCGATTTCGAGCCGAATGAGTTTAGAGTTTAGACTTTGGAGCGCGCGGTTCGGCTGCAAACTTAAATAATAAAATCGTTTAATTTATATTCCGCTCAGTTTCGCCGAAGTATTAACCACGGTTTTTTTTATTTTTTCGCACGCAGTGTGCGTTCGCCCGCCACACGTTTTACGCCTGCCCTTTTCTTCGAGCCGATTTTCATCTCGGATCGTTGGCGTTTGCCGAGTTAATGCGTCCATTCATATTTACATCACGTATATAATAGTCGCACGGTTTGTTCCTTCCGGCGCGATATGATATTAAGAAACTCCCGACCGTTTGTCGTTTGGTTGGAGCGGATCCTCGGGTGCGGGAAAACATTGCGATCGTTTTGGGCACGCGCGCTCGCTTCTCGGCAATCGTCATTTTCCAATATCCCTAAAATTGAGTTCGTGACCAAAAAGCGCGCCGCGACTTTCGCTTAACTTTCATCCTGGTTCATACCCATAACGATCTTTTCTTTCCAAAACCTTCTAAAAAGTAAGGAAAAATGTTGATCTATCTTCATCAATTTATTAACAGCTGAGGAAAAATAGACATTGACGCAAAACAAGAAAAATCGTTCCGTGGTGAAATCGAAAGGTTCTTCGACCGCGGGGAATATTTGAGTGACATAAAGCCCTATTGCGTTAAGGGACACGCGCCGCCCCAAAAATAGCACGTTATTTAATCCCAAACCAATCTTTTAGCCAACACATGCTTTCACACTTACTCTCCTGAATATGTATTTCTCGAGCTTCGGGCGGTTCAAATTCCTGCTGTGTACTGACCCTTTTGGTTTGTTTACTCGTATATTAATATTTTCGACTTTCACAAACGCACACAGCTTCTCGTTCCTTCATTTTTTTTTTCTATTTATATTTATGCGAAACAATCAAATTTACGACGCCGAGTAGGCGTGATTCGTGCAGTACAAGCTCGTAATGCAAAACATCAAACACTCTCAGCTGTGTGGAGCTGCGCGAAAAGCAAATTTATAAACAATTCACGAATATTTGTGTCACGCACGCAGCATATGCCGTCCGTCGTCTCGGCGCTGATTTGCGAATGCGTCCCGGTTGTCCCGAAGAAGCAGAAAAAAAGAAGTGCGCGTGCAGGAATGAAGCGTCGAGCCGGCGCGAAACGTGCGCGCATTGCACATTTATGCCGCTGCCGCCGCCTCACACACACGCCGTCCGGATGGATTTGGTTATAAAACGTACGCGACGCCTTTGGCGAAGAGTTGCACACACACTGTAAACGTAAACGCGCGCGCATTGCGATCGCATTGTCGCCGCAGAATTGAGTTATATTTAAAGACGCAATAAAACTTATGTTTGATCATTAAAACGTTATAAAAGTCGCTATAAAAACTTTTGTTGCCGCTTTACAAATGATTTATTTCCCAAACATCATGCCTCGCGCGCCAAACAACCACAAGCGCGCATTTTTCACTTTTCACGTGACCGATAGAAATGTTTTGCAAAACATCTAAATTTATTGTGGCTCAAAATATAGAATACTACATTTTATACAACAGTGGAAATGGAAATTTACACTTCATTAAAATATACAAAATATTTAGTTAATTAAAATTTACACCGTAAACTATTTGATATCTTTGTTGCATTTTAAAGCGCAGTTTGAGATAACGATCAGAATGAAATAATTGAATATGCAACGGACAGCTGTTGCCTTCGTCCATGGTCGGTGGAAGTTGCACGGAATGGTTCTTAGGGACATGAAGGAAAGGAAATCAAATCATGGCCGGCCGCTGAGGGGTGACTTGAGAAGCAAACGCGAAGAAAACAGGCCTCGCATTCTCAGGGTTAAATGGGTATGAACGGATGATAGTTTAGAATGATAGCATGATAGCATGCACAGATGACGCCGAGTCAACACAACCGAACAAATATGGAATGTCAAAGTATTACTGGATATACAATGCGTTTAAAGTTTTTTTTTTTAAATTACGTTGAGCAGGAAGATTTTCCAACCCTTAGATATTCATATTGAGTAGGGGAGCAAAACGCCCCTAAATATAATTGCGAAACCATCATGGGCGTATGATAAACGGCCGAAACGGTGAATGGCGAAGAGAGCAGACAGCAAATGGCAGCCGCACGCTTAAATGGCAAATAGAGAATTATATTTATGGCCATCAGCTTGGGGCCCAACCTCGACGCGACTAATTCATATAATTTTTCATATAAATGCACATCGGCGAGAGAATCCTCAGCAATAGTAATATGTTATTGATCAACGCTGGATTGCCATTAGTCAGTGTATACAGAGTGTTCTAACTAACATCAAAATTCAACTCAACTAGCTTTGATCTTAAATTTTTATTATTACACACCAGCATTTACTAAATGCGTTTATCGGCATCATGAACGTTAGCACACGCATTAAAATGCATTCACTTATCGCAAATGCGTCCGGTTTTGAAAACGTAAGAAATAGAAACTAATTTTACTTATAACTTATAAGATAACAAACATTTTCAATAAATTTTCATGCAGTTAAACTAAAATGTTTTCATAGAGCAACCACAAATATCTGTCATGTGACTTTAGTTATAAAGAGTGGATGAAAACAAGAAACTCAAGAAAGTCTTGATTGCTTAACGAGATCCAGACCACCCAATGGAAGAAGTCAGCGCTTAATTGAATTTCTTTAATTGGCCCGCAATGGTTTTAATTAAATTTCGCATTTTCTGTGTGTTTTTCTTTGTGGCTTAAATATTTATCCCTCGCGCATGGTGAGTTGAGTGTGATTCGCTGGGTTTTGTCTATTTCTTCACGAATTTCGTAACTGTTTGTATACCCTTCGAGTGTGTATCGCATGGAACGTTATAAATAAATACAAAGCGCGTTATATATAAATTCCATTACATATAAATGAATAAATAAATATTCGTTCGCGCAGCGATAAATTTATATTTCCTGTACGCACGCAGTATTTCGGTTGCGTGCGCATGCGCGCAAGAAAGAAAGAAAAAAACGAAATGGAATTAAAAGAGTTTTACGAGGTCGTAAAACGCGAGATAGTCCCGCACACCTAATTATCTAGTTCTACCTCAATACTTAATTTTAATTTAATTCGATTCTCCGCGCAGAACGCCAACAACTATGGGATAATTATATGCGTTTAATTATATTAAATAATAACGTGAAACATTTTTTACACTTTACTCGCCGCAGAAATCAGAAATTTTTATATGCAAAACAATGGCGTAATTTAACGTGCGATAAAATTTAAAAATGTATCAAAAACTCATTAAAATGTTGTAAAAAAGCATATATGCTAATATTGCTAATGTGTCAATTAAATAATCATTTATTTGTCGCAAAAATTGTGAATTTAATTTCCTGGGGAGTCCTTGACGAGAATCTCAATTGAATAAAAGATTTATGTTTAATATGTGCAGACTCCTGCGCCTCATGGCGCATGCTTTCAATTTTGATTAAATTTTGTTTCGTCGCGTTCGCTTATTGAACTCGCAGGCGCAGCATATGTCGAGACAACGCTTGCAGACAGCGTGCGGAATCTTAAATAAATTTCCTTCGGTGATATTGTGCACCCAGCCCTTTGCAGCTCTCAGGAAATATTACATTGTATTATAATGTCGCGTCTGCAATATAAATTATGCTTAGAGTTGAGCATATTTCGCTTACTAGCAGGAATCTCAACGTGTAACATGCTGCCACACAATTTAATTTAAAATTATTTTAAACAAAATTTAAACTAAAAAACTGAAATTTTATATAGGAGAATATATAGAATACAACAATGTATCTATCTTTAAGTTCAATTATAATATAAAATCGTTAATATTTAATTGTCTGCTGTGCGTTTTGTTTATTTAAATTTAAATACACTCATTGAATAACAAAATAGTCAAATGACTTTATTACGGTCGTAAAAACTGATGGTAGCTGATGGTAGATGCGTAAATCATAAATTCATTAAAAAAAAACTACGTGAACGCATCACAAACAATCCGGATCATAAAGGATCGTTTAGAATTTTATTGCATTTCTATTGCTTTTTTATTTGCATTGTGGATTAATTAATTAGCGCCTAATTAATACGTCAGAAAAAAATTTCCACGCAACGTTGAAGTTGAAAAAAAGAAAATTTTCCTTGTTTACAAAAATACATTGTTCACAAACATTTATAATATTTATTTAGGAACAATGTTTAATTAGCCGATTAATTAATTCGGTTGTGTGCTTGCCTAATAATAATTTTTAACTGCACACTTATATCGTTGTTTTTAAACGTCTAATCACCATACAGCTGTTGTAATTGCTGTTAGAACGACACTAATTGTTGTAATTCAAGGTGCAACTTGAATAATATCAGTTACAAAATAAACTAATTGATGTCGTATGCATTGCTTAATTGGACGTTTGTTTTTGTTTGTTTCAGGTGTTTGTGATTATCAAAGTGTAAAGTGTGATTGTGTGAACAAAGCTCAAAGACATCCAGGAAGCGCAAAAAACGGATATTTCATTAAACACCTAACGGGATTCAACGTCTCTAATCGGTGAGTATTTCAATATTTTATTCATTAATGTAGAAAAATATCAAAAAGTAATAATTACCAGCATTATGAATCGATGCGTCGATTTTTAAATTAATTAACGCTTGCGCACAGCGCGGTAATTACTTTATGTCGTTAATACTACGGCTTTGAGCGGGAAACTCGAGCATTCGTTTATATGCAATTTAATGTGCCTCACCTGTGTGTCGTCTCATTAAGCGCCATTTATTCTGCATGAAGTCTAGATGAAGGAAAAATGCACTAAACGCAAACACCGCACAATTATTAGATATATTTATTACACTAACTTTAAATTTTTGATTTTTTGAGGTTTGCGTTGGTAGGATGATGTTTCATGACTGAAAATGTTTTGGCAAAAAATTTTGCACCTAGCGGTTTTTTGGTTTTTCCTTGAGGTTGCATCCCGAACACATTTTTAATGGTTTTATGCGCATTGTAAAGCAAGGGTTTTTTTCTGCTTACATCTGTGTCCTTGTAAACACATTTACAACCCGAACCCTTTTTATTGCGTATTTTTTGGCAATTCACTACAAGGTCTTTCTCTAGAATAACATGCAATCATGCCATAAAGAAACCCTTTGCTCAATAAAAAGCGCACAAGACCTTGGTAACATGACTTAAGTAAAAAAGGCTTGAATGACCAAATATTTATGATGGTTTATTGAACCCTAAACTATACTGCCCTTCAGATGTCACTCGAGTGGTTTACGGCAAAAAATAAACGTGTTTGTGAAAAAATGCGCACTGCGTTCCCAAGTCCGTAATTTAAACGATACAATTACTTGTAAGAAATTGGCGTTATCAGGCGTCGGTTAATTAATAATTTATGGCAGTCGTGCGGAGTGTGGCGGGCAAAGGTTCACCAGCATCGTGTTGTCGTTGTCGTTATTGATATTGGTGATGATTACAACAAATAACAAGCGCGCACATTCATCCAACTTGGTTTATTTGCTCCGAGTATTTTTATGATTTTCGTAAAAGTTTGTTTTCAACAATTTCAAGCATAAAAACGAGCCATTCCAAGATGATGAAGCCGTTTGAATGAATGGTTATAGCTAACTATTAATTAGCAGCGACGAACATTCATAGAGATGACATCGACGAGTGGTGTGTTCTCTAATTGCTTATTATTGTCATTACTTTTGAATATGACTGTTCATTACTTTGAATGGTTAATAAAAGATGCGCAGTTTCCAGTTTTCCAATAAATTATCACATAAAAACTTGTAATCGACTCAAATATTAATAAAACATGTTTTATATGAATTTCTTGTGACGTCTGTTGAACATTTTAAACATATTTACAGCACTAGGGCTGTAAAGTCCATTTAAACCACAAGGAAACAAAAAATAATGAAAATATGTTTTAATGGAAAACGAATTAATTTATTAATAATTTTACGAGCATAGTGCCTCAAGTTTATTAGGCTTAAGTTTGTTTCAAGTGGTTAGCGAACGTTATAACATCACTTAATGCTATTTTATGCAATGCTCTATGTCTTTTATTCGTGCCTTTATTGGTGCTTGCGTGAAATAAAACGTGCTCGCGGCGCGACTCGTGGTTCGTGTTGTTTATTTGCGTGCGATTTAGTTAATTCTCTGATTGCATCGGAATATTTCGCTTTTGTTTCGCTACACGGTGTTTGCATATTCAACTTGGTGGGACAAAAACGTTGAATTGTGGAAGAAACGGCCGAAAAGCTGAATAATTTAATAAATTTAAGACCGCCTGCGGTTTTATCAACTATTTAGTGAAAATACACTTTATTCTTTTATTAGGTCATTCTTACCTACTCACTTGTACTTTTATATCCTTTAAAAGTACTTGAATTTTAAAAAGAACATCTGTTGTAAAATAATAAATATTAATATTCCACGCATAGGATTGGCAAAAAACGAGCTCATAATTTAAAATTACAAATTGGCAATCTATTTGCTAATGGCATGTCCGACATGTGTAACATTAGTAGGTAACATTACAAAGCGTAAATGCAACGGTTACAAACGTGAATATAAAGTGTCTAAAAGTCGATTGAATATTTAATGCTAATAATAATTTTATATGCCATTGTAAATTTTCGGCCACTCCACACCTCGCTCTGTGCATTTTGATGTGATTATGATATCAAACTTTTATACCAGTAATTCGATCCATGTGAGAATACAACTTTTAACTTGTCTATAACGCAAAAATTTACGATGCGTTATATCAATATATGGAAATTGTTTTAAAACAATGTTTGGCTGCAAATGACAGGTTATGGTCAGCGAAAATTTTTATATATTTCATGTGCGGTTTATCTGCTTGTGGTCTGTTATATTACAATATATCGAAATGCGGCGTGAATCTGAGTTCTTCCCGTAGACGCTCGTAAAAAAATAGTAATTTCGAGTTTCAGTAGTCGAAGATTTTCGCTTTGCATTGCCCTGACACACTGCTGACACACACACACACAGTAAGTAGTCGATCGTAAAGCATGAACACACCACACAGCAGAAAAACGCATAAAAAACATAAAATCGCATAAAGCGGCATAAAACTCATAAAGCAACCAGTTTCCGGATCTGGACGTCTAAAGAACCAAGACGAAAATCATCTCGCCAGCTCTAAACCCTTTTATATTTATTTTTATGCGTTTTTTTTTTCATACAATTTTTAAAGCCCAATTGTCAAGTCTACTGTTAACCCACTTCAAAAACCCACTCGCAGTTATTTTCTCAAAGAAAGCAAAAATGGTAAATATGCCGGTTACCCGTATTTGAGGTTATGGTGGTAAAATAAATTCAAAACCAAACACATTTTTTGCAATAGCAATAACTCAGGCTCAAAGCTGTATAAGTAAAACGAATCGCATTAGTATGTACCGGGGGCATGTTGAACTTTGTTTAAACAATGTGTCTGCGTGCGTTTGTAACGATTTGTTTTGTTGTGTGCAAATATTCGCGGGCATGCGGACGCAACGGCTCGCGAAGAATGCGCACGATTTCGCGCTTGTTTCACATCATAACTTTGCGCACGATAATATCACGCGTACATATTTTATTCAAACATTATATTTATATATTAAAATGCGTATAATGCTCATACCGTTGCGCGATTGTGGCCAAGCTTGACGTGGTTGCCATTTTGAGCATTTCTGTGCTTCAACACGGCGATAGAAGGACCATTTAAATGATAAAAATAAAATCAAATCAAAACTTCTCACATAATTAGACATATTTTATGTAAATAATTTTAAGTAAATATTAACTATGTAAGTGCTCATTAAAAACGAATAAATTAATTTTATATTCGTAATAAAACAAAATAATTTTAGATAAGTGGTATAGTCGTGGCGCCCTTATTAGGTAAAAATGATTAGCGAAGAATAGAGTGGTTTAAAATTAATTATCTAAAAATTATTTTCAAAGAAAACAAAATATTTGATTTTAGATTAAATTCTACACATAATTATGTAAATATTTTCATAATTATATTATTACGTAATGAGTAATTTGCAATAAAAAATGGAATTTGTATAAATAACAACGTTTACATTCATATGTTTATAAAAATTGATAAAAAACTGTTTTTAATATAATTTTGACAAAGTAATTACATATTTTTATAAAAAAAAAATTAAAAAATGAATTTTTTAGTAATTAATTACGTAAAAAACACAATTTTACAATATATTATACAAACTTTATATAAAATAATAAGAAATAAGACTTTGGTATAGCAATAAATTTATGAACACTTGTGAGTTCAAGAGCAATGGCATTATCGCACGCAACAATTACCCACCTACCAGAAAATCCCTTTCCCTACCAACAATTCCTGCTCTAATTACTTTCGGCTGTAATATTTTATCGTTACTTATATTACATCATAACTATAAATCACAGGCTTGTTATATTTTTGTCATGCCGAGATCATCACACATTTGATAAGACACGTGAGGCGCGATATTATGGCTTTCTTTTTATGATGTATCGGTGTGGCACATGAATGAAAGCCCCGCGTCGCAAGTATGTGAATATTATAGCCTGTCCGCTTTACGACGGCCATTAAAATTATTATTTTATTATATTATTAATAATATCAGCATAATGTAACAACAACGCTGTAAAATTAGTACGCGTTTAGTGGCATTTAATTGCAATCGAAACAAACCGATTTATTCGAAGTCATGTGTAAAGCTTCCGTACGAACACAGATATAAACATTTATAATGATCGTAAATGTAATAGATTGTAATAAAATTTGGTTAAATAGTTGCTTGATATTTGTAACCACGCGTTAGGCTTAATTAAGTTATAAGTTATAAACAACGATTAGATTTTTATTGTTTAGTTAATGTAAGGATATAGTGCAAGGATAAATTTTTACGACCTACCTCACACTCGCAGTGACCTTGACATGTCCTTCGGTTTGCAAACTAAAAGTATAACAAAACAACAACACAGATATTAATGAATTATTTTAGAATTTTGTTTGTAATTTTACGAACCTTGTATGGAGATTTGTGTGATACGTCTGCCGTCGGTTGCTGGGCTTGTGGGGCGACTTTTCGACAAGTTCAACACACGCGAAACGCAAAGGCACTGACGGCGTGCTGCTGGCAATTCGTCCTTGCACGCGGCCATTCGTCGCCAGCGAGTTGACAGAGCGGGCACACGCACGGGCACACCAACACACACACACACCAATAGAATGTCTCTACGAATGCAGAAACACTGAAAGAGGCGCACGGTGATGAGCCAGAACACCGAAGAATTACTGAGAAGTCTTGTGCAAGAGTAGCGCTGTTGTGAGTTGCCGAGAATTTTGACACAGAGCGTGACAGACGAGTTTTGTTTGGGGCATGTGGGAATAGTTTATTTTCGGTGACATTCAGTCGCCTTCTTTTAGAAAAGGCGTGTTGGAGTAAGTTATCCTTGTCTATAATTTATTTTCTGTGCTTGGAACGCATCTTTCGGTTTAGATTAGAAGAATATTCAAGTAAAACGATTGGAAAGATACAAATCTGTCAAAAACTATTGGAAAACATGAAAAAAATAAAAATAACTTGATTTTAACAAAAATATTCTTAACTTTAACTAAATATTTTATTAATTTTTATAAATTCATTAAACCAAAAATTAAAAACTCTAAAATTTCCAAAAATAAAATTTCTGTAAAATTTCTTTGCATCTCAGTACAAAAATTGCTTGAAGTTCAAGAAAAACCAGCATTCCTTGATGGGTACACTTTTTATCCTGCTCTAACACATTCACTGATCGAATTCTTTTCTTTGACTTCTTCGGTTTTGTCCTGCCCCGGACAATGCCAAAGCCAAGACGACGGGTTGCCATGTTGATCGCAGCTCCGCGCAGCACCGAAGTCTGAGAGGGGAGCAGCCATGATGGTTTTATCGACCAACCTTTGCTGTTGTTCGGCTTTGAGAACCGGCTACGCCCTTGGAATATACCATTTAAGTATATACGTCTTATACCCTAACATCTACCTAATTTTAAACCACAAAAAAATCCCACAAATATTATATTTTTTAAAGTGGTGATTGTAATGACAATGTATTCTTTGATAATTACAACGTCGCATTATAATTGATCATGTGTAGTGTTTTGTGCAGTCGCGGCACTCAGCCGGGGACTTGAAAAATGCATTTAAATGGCTTAAGTGCTTTTTAAATTTTAAAACCTTCGCGGCGCCAACGCGGTCAGTTTATAACTGTTGTAAGACTCTCGGCGAGATGCTGAGCGAATGTCTCTCGCTGTTGATGCAAAACGCTGCTTAATGCATTTTAATTGCAATCACTTATAATAATAATATAATTGCAATAACAATTAAAATTACAATGCGGCGTTACAACGGACGCACAGTGTCTGGTAAACTTTTAGTGGTTTATTATCATAACAAATCGTTTGGGTAATTTCAATCATTAAATAATTAAAAAGCTTTTTTAAATTTTTCTTGTGAAGCAACTGGAAAGTTTTCTACTGTAGAATAGCACTATTCATCCGCTAGGGGTTGGATGAGGGTGCACACTCACATAAACTTCCAGCCAGACAACACGAGATGTCGCTGTCGATTTCAACCCTCGTGTTAATACAGAAGTATCGATTTATATTTTCGGCTACTTGTAATTTCCATGTTATTTTTAACTTTTTCTTTACAAAAGTAAATTTATTTAATTTTTTTGTTAAAATAAATTAAAACACAATATTTTAATCTAAAAAATTCCAAAATTCTTTACCAAGAGATTTATTCTGGGAGATTTAACGTCTAACTGAGTATTAATGGATGGTAAATAGTGTGACACTGTTTCTGTATTGTTTAGTAGTTTGTGGTGTTCGGTAATTTGTAAAGAAACAACGCCGAATCGCTCAAGAAGGAAGCCCGACCAACCGGCAAAACGCAAACGTACGTAGGTAATAAAAATCACAAGGAGCACATGCCTTTTTATGGGACAATAAAAACGACGATAAATTTAAATGGGTCGTTATAAAATAATAAAGCCCTACGTGGTAAGCGTCCGCGCGCAATGTAAACTTTGGAGATAGCTTCGTCACGAATCCGAAATCGTTTGCCACTTTTCACTTTCAGCCTTTTAATCTATCGAATTGTGTCGGTATTAAGTAAATAAGAATCCCTTTTAAAAATCTTTCATTTTTGCCGATTGTGAAATGAGTAAACAAACTAATTGTCTCCGAAGTTCATGTTTATGTAATTTTCTGGAAAACTTGCTGTGGAAATACAGTCGATTTCTATGTTAAGTGCAAACTTAAAGAATGTTGGCAAAAGCGCATTGAAAATTTCCATAAAAATCAATGCGCCAGACTTGCCAGAATAACCAAACTCTCATCAAGTGCCCGAACGGCCACCGGTACACTGTGTAAACCCTCATCTGTACCCTTTCAAAGCGGTCGTTTTTTGGCGTTTGCCTTCCATTTCCACATGCCACTACGTGCGCGCACTGGGCGAGTACACACGTTGAACAGGCATTGCGTTGCTTATCGCCGATACAGAGACGAAACTATTGAATCGGCGATATCATGCGATCGTCGTCGTTCGAAAAGACCTGCTCGATCAGCCGGCGAGATGGCGACTATCAACGCGCAACATCAAATCACCCTTTTCAACTTTTCAACCTTTGCACTTTACAATCGCTTCTCTTGTAAATAGCAGAAGCGCACATCGAAGATAGAATTGTGAGTGTGCGTGAGTGTGGAGGAGAATGCGGTTCGTCGATTGGCATTATTGGAATTCCCATTGGGGCGGAATTCCTTTTAAAATACGAAAATTCTCTTTCGGTCGATGCGTTCGTTACCTCCGCGCGCCGTTTTCGTCAGCGTCGCGGCGCCGACTCGGGACTATGACCTGCCAGCAGCCACACACAGCATCAGACGCAGAGCACGCTTTGCAAGCTCCCAGGCGCTGCACAGACGCACGTAGTCCGCTTTGCTCGGGCCCCTGGGTACATACCACACCCAATTATAAAAGATTATCGATCTTCATGAGCCACTCTGGCCCGGTAGCCGGCCAGACACAAAACGAGAACTTGAACTTTTCTTTCAAGTCATGAAGTGTCACATTAAATTGATAGAAGTGGGTCTTTTGCCAATAAATATACCTAACAGGTATTTAGGTAGATCTTCAAAGCAAAAAAAAATCGAAGCGTGAAAATTTGTTTTGTTCACTTTTGGTCACTTGAGAGTAGAATTCAAGTCTCTCGAAATACATTCGAAAGGCTTGGAGAAGGAAATGACGATGGTAGCAATAGGCTCAGTTTTAGGAGCAGGCTTTTCTGATGATAACACCCATTGTATCACCGTACTTAGTAAAATAACCGCAAAACGGCCTCGTTCCGGAGGCTTTTACGAGGCGGCAACATCTCATGCCAGCACCAGAGACACTTCGAGGCGTTCCTTGTTTCCCATCGCCAGCGCAGCACCCCGACACCCTGGCGACTCCGAAGTCTGCACATCCACTTGTATTTTTTGTTTGTTTGACATTCACCGCGTTTACCGCCCTCGCACGCTCTCACAACCATAGAATAGGTGAAGAAGCAACATTAAAAATCTGTATGTTTGCATGCGGAGCGCTGGAACAGCAAAAAGGTGGTCCTCGGGGGTCTTATTTTTATGCCTCGCTCGAATGTCGCATAATGAGGTGACACGACATGCTTTCCGTTTGTATTACGAGCTCGCCGCCGAGGGCCTCGTGCGCGAACGGAATGGACACGGGCATATTGCGTAAACGATACGTTCCAACGACACGCAACGGCTCATGTGCCTCGGCATGAGGCGAACGACCAAAACAGAAGTAAAAAACATGCAGAACGACCCGAAACTGCTTAGAAACGACCGGAGCCAGCGGCGTCTCCATCAAAACCCGTCATAACACGGGAATATGTCAAATTACTTCCACATTTTGAACCATGATAACAATATAGACAATTTTTATTTGTTTCAGGATCAATACTCAATCAGATTTTCAAGTTTTAACTACAGTTAAGGTAAACAACCATTTGCATATGAACACCCAACACCCAACACCTAACACATACCTAGTTATCCACATCAAAGAAATAAAGTCATATAAAAAAAATGGTACGTGTATGTAGGTACGCAGTTGTTACCACGAACACACGACCTAACCTCACTCGCAAGAGATAAATATTTTACGACTGTGTTATAATAATACCCACATTCAGCTGACATGACGTCCAAGGCAGCCATCCATCTGTGGTACGTAGAGGTATTGCTCCGGTATATGGCGTGCGTTGTGGCGCATTTTCTTACTACTTCATTATGTAATATAGATAGATATTTTCACGTAGGATATATTACACGGCGGGTATGATGGGCTCGTGGAAGACGGAGCAAGACGCAGAAAATTGCATGGTAGTTCATGCCACTTTTATTATACATCGATAATAACGCGTTGGTCGTAATAATTTATTGATGTGAAACTGCGTCGGTTTTTAGTTGCTTATTGGTGGCGAAAATATGAGTTGATTAAATTGGTATCTTATTCTGAGTGTTACAATTATTATTAACACAAATCCTTGTCGTTATTGTAATTTGTAGTCAGGTATATTTTGTAAGTTGCCGAAATTTGTTTTGGTACTGTGACGGAGATTCAACTTGTACTCGCTGGATGGCGCCACGTATTACACACCAAGAGTTGTTTATTCAAAAACTTAAATTTTGGTATAAATGAATGTTAATTTTATTTTTGTGTGTTCAAAACAATGTATTGATGTGTTAAATTATAATTATGCACTTACCACTTAAGAAATTATGCGTAATGTATAAAATGTGTTTTTGGTGTTAAGGTACCATGAATGGTACCTTTTTATATTGGTAGATATTGTGAATTAGTTGAAATAAATCGATTTGTTGAAATATGGTGTCAAAATTTGTAAGCAGTAACATTGTTGGAATGCTAGGCGTTCCGCAGCAACGTGCGGCGGTTGCGTGCGGCGGGCCGACGCACATGGAGGCGAGCCGGGACAGGCGATGTGGTTGGGGACCGCCGTCGGCCGGCTGCGGCTGTGTTGGTGAGGCGCTTTCTCGCGCGCGTCGCGGATATCGAGCGTTCGCGCGTGGCTCGACGCGGGCACCCATTGGCTGGGACCGCACCTGCTCTGAGCGCTGTCGGCGTGGTGGGGCGCCATTACCGTTCTAGTACCGCGGATAAGGCATAGAGGGCTATAGACCGAACATACATGGGTCATAAAGGATTCGAAGAAGTAGAGGAGAAGGACGCGTAAGAATTTCTCTGGGCATAGGGTTAAACGACGTTCAGTAAAATAGCCTATTAAGTGCGCGGCCGTACCGTACGTCGAAACGTTCGTCGTTTTGCCCGTCGCCGTCGTCGTCGTCGTCGGCTAGTCCACATAGCGCTCCGCGTGCGTCGTTCACGATTAAATTTCGCCGTTTTCGAAGAGTTTTGCCGCCGGCCGGAGCATCGTAATCTGCAAGTGTGCACCCGAGAGTTGTTTGTTCGAACACAGTTGTTCTTCAGTGCAAGGGACCTGATTTCGCGTATATTATGAGCGGCGGCAGTGTGCGGTGCAGTGAACGGAACCAGCAATGAGTTCCAAATTCATCATCGATAGCATGCTCCCGAAGTACCATCAACAGTTCCATCATCAGCAGCTGTTCGCGAACCCAACCACCACATCAAACCTCGAGTCCAGCCTCAGCTCGGCGGTGAATTACAGCTCGTCGGGATCGCCGAGTGGATCGTCGCCGCAGCACAGCAATAGCAGCGCATCGTCGACGTCGCCAGCGGCCAGAATGTATCCGTACGTGTCGGCCGCCGCCGCCCACCATCATCAGCAGCAAGCCGTTGCCGCTTTCAATGCCGCCGCCACCGGTACAATGGTACCGGGCTTTTCATCAAGCGCGAGTACCGCAGCATTGGCAGCCGCCGCCGCAGTTGACGCCGCCAACGATAAATCCTGCCGATACACGGCTGGTCTAGCTGGTAACGTAGCACCGACGGACTCCATGGTCAACTATGCACTTGGCCATCATCATCAGAACGGCGTGGCTGTTTCTGCTGCGAATTCCGTCAGCGCCGCTTCGGCGTCAATGGCCGTCGCCGCACAGTTCTACCAACATGCCGCCAGCGCTGTCGCGGATCCGTTGAATTCCTGCTCCCAGCCGGTGGCACCCGGCGGGCAGCCAATTCCGGACATTCCGCGATATCCTTGGATGTCTATTACAGGTAAGTTCGAAAACCGTAACAATATTCAACGCATTCAACGTCCAATTGGACCTAATCACATTGGACGCGCTTCAAAATCACTTTCATGCCATAACTACAAGGGGTAGTTATGATTGTGCAACACCGTTTTGGGTGGACAAACGAGGACGACAAAAAAATAGCAATAAAACATGCGTTTAATGGCCACTTAGTAGGCTATAACAATAAAACTAGCCATAAACCTGAACACACACATTGCCGCCATTAAAATGGTACCGGTCCGTCGGATGCACTACGCGCGCTTGTATCGGAAATTGTTGAAACGCGCTGGTTTTCAATTTGTTGCTAATCGACCGTCGGCAACAACCGAACTCTAAGCTAAACAAATAAATAATAAATTTAATCGGCGATCGACTCAATTCACATCTAGAATACGGAAATAAATAGCGCAGGATATATACTCATTAAAAGTGCAGCATGCAATGCAAAAAATGCAACATTCGTGACACATTACGACAAAATAATGAGCGCATTAACAATCGAATAATAAAGAAATAAATCGCGTTGTGTGAATTAAAAAAATGAACAACTGAAAAATGCAATTAAATTTGTATTAATGGCGCCTGAATGCTAAATGATATCAATAAAAATAATTTTATAGGATATTTTAATGGCTCGCTGCATGTTCGATTGACCAATCCGGGGGAATGCCATTTTTATTGTGCTCATTACCGCGCTGCACTTATATCATATTTGTTTATATTGAAATACACTGAATTTAACGACCAGATTAACACTCAACAATTACACATTAATATTATGTAACACTTTGTTAAACGCAAAAGTAAACGCATTCAAAAAGAGCAAATCCTCTATTTATTGCCGTGTAATTCTCGGAAACAATGCAATTCTCGAAAACGCGCTTAAAATTTTTCAATTTGTATATTAGTAAAGTCAACACCGTCGATATTAATCATCTGCATTTACATTGTATGTGCACTAAACTGCAATTTATCTTTGATTGAAGCAACGTGGCCGCAAAGCCACGCATGCGCATATGACTAAGAGAATTTATGTGCGCATTGTTCTCCATAGACTTGTCTCGCGGCGATGTGTGACTTTTGTGACTTAAGTCTAGTATGACGTTGAATGCATTGCGCTGTAGAAATATTTCCGATGTGAATTATTACCGTACATTGTAAAACTGATTATTAACGATCAATTAATGTCATCTTTCAGATTGGATGAGCCCCTTTGACCGTGTGGTGTGCGGTGAGTACAATGGTACATAATCGATTTTTTATTTTTTTATATTATTTTAAGTTTTCCTTGCCTTGTTGGTCAAAACGCCATCATCAATTCAGTATTTATTGTGTATGTTCGATGATGGTGACGTTTTCCAATGCGGTTTAATTTAAGTTATTTTAAGAAAATTTTATGAAAATTGCGATTTTGACTTAAACTTTCTGATAAATTTTGCAATGTTATGTCTGAGTATAACTTAATAATTTTTTTCGTAACGCTGATAAAGCAATAAATTTCATGCTGCACTAGGGATACATGCACATGAAATTTATAATAATTAAGAGTAAGAGTGGATATTTTTAATGCACATTCGAAACTTCAAAACAAGCAATTTTTCGGCCGATTTAGACGAGTTTATCGCACGCGTCTCTGCTCGGCTCTGTTCCGCGTGAGTGTTTACAATGCAGAACGCAATAAAACTGCCAAGTCGCCAAGTGTGAGTCGACGTTCGATTTTTTAGTACCATTTTGGCACTGTACACCAAACTAAGTAACTTGACTTAACCAGGCGCAATAAAAGATAGACTTTTAGAAAGTTTCCTCTTGCAAGGGTTGCTAAATCGTTTGCAAAACTTTCACTTTAACCGTTTTTTGCTAAACAACCCTAAAAGTCTTTTGATACATCAAATCCTAGGAAAAAAACTCTTTTTCTTTGAGTCTCTAGTCTCTTGGTCGTCGTAGTCGAGGTTAACCACGTTTCTTGTCGCGCTGGAAAAAAATCCATCTGTCATTCCCCTCGTATATACCAGACTTAATGCGCTATATACCTACGTGCTACACGGGCGTACACAGAGTACACGCTTAACATAATTCATGGCCAAGTTTGTATTCTTTATTCTTCGCGCAGTCGGCCTGGTGAACATTGGTCGTTAGCGCGATGAAACTCCCAGCCTCTCTCACAGTGTGTGCGCAAGAAATCTAAATTAGGAATTTATTTTTAGTCATAAATAATGTGGCTACATTGTGGTTTACTGCCTGTGCTGTGGCTGTTGCTATCACAGCACGGGCCAGTGTAACGACCGAAAATTGCACTAATTGTTTTATTTGTTGGTGAAATTACCAAATTCATAATAACAACGTCGATAACATCAAAAATTATAAATTGATTGGTTTGTTGACACCATTAAAATCACCAAAATAAGCATATTTTATGAAAACACATCTGATACTAAATAATACCCTTGAACTTTATTTCACACTTGTGAAATTTTCAACCGATTTTAAAATTTTACAATTTTCGGAAATGGAAACTAGTTTCACTCCTGCTTGTTTTGCTGTCAGTGACATTGAATTGCGCCATGAGGCTAGGTATCAAGTTACCATCTAGTATGACATGTCACAAGTCTAAGGAAAGCGACATGCGCGTACATCTAAAACCGGTACATTTACATCTCCAACATATTTACTATTTGCGTTAGGCTTGCGCAGCTTTTTTTCGGTAGTTTTTGTTGTAAATATTAAATGTTTCTAAACGCTAAGCAATCGACGGAAATTGATCGCACAATCTAATAAATATTTAACCAATCGACTTCTTTGATCTGAAATTTATCGGATGCGTCATTTTCGCGTGCGCCTGGCGTAAATTTCTACTCCTTTTGATCTTTTAGCGATTGCACACCGTTACGAAAACAATCAGTTTCCACCGTGTTAAAATATTTTCCAACATTTTAATTTAAACATCGTTCGCGCTGTTTTTTACAACACATATTCGTAATTAGCCACACTAATTTGATCATTTCTCAAATGCGTCCAGCTAAATAAATAGAAGTGGGACCTTGCCGGAATGAGAGTGTCCAATTACGTGACAATGACAAATAATTTTTCAATTTATCCATTAATCAGGAACACGCTGACGTAGCGACACAATTTACTCGTGTACATGTCGATCATCTGCTTGCTCTTCGGGTATAATTGGCTGAACAATAAGTAAAGACTTACGCCCAGCATGTATTTATGTCAATTGATGAACGAGAAGCCATTAATATGATTAACCGATGGAAATTAATTTGTTTATTTATAATGAACATTTAAGATTGTAATTGTAATATTCAGCGAGTTATTGTGTTACTCTCTTGTTTATTCATATCAAATTTTAGTTTATGATTTTTTGTGCTGATTTTAGGCCTTTGTTGGCTTAGTAGTGGTCCCCCCAGTGGAGTTTATGTTATGTTTTTATGTTTTCATGCGTTTTATGCGTTTATTATGCCCCGAAATGCGGTAGTTTTGTGGTCGCCGTAACGACCTGGAATGCGCCATCTCCATAGTTGCGACATACAGAATAGAGCACCCCGGAATTATACGACATCAATTATCTTAAAGGCTATATGGAGTGCGAAAGAGTTTATTGCATGTTTGACAAGTCAGAGAGAAACTTATATTATACTTGTGTGTGTGAGTGTGGGCACGAGCCCACAATTATTTTTACGACGGCGTAGAGGCGTCACTGATTCAAAACGACATAGGCGGGGGTTGTCGATCGTGGGGTTGTGTAAAGTCATTATAGTTACGCGCCCCATCAAGGAGTAGTCGTACGCTGAGTGCTCCTATTTCCATTCGGCTTAAGTTGCGCTTTTTTTATGGTTATCAGAAGTAAAGATAAAAAGTGGGTGAAGAAATTTGATTGTGATCTTGATAATAGGCAGGAAAAACTGCTGGGTCATTTGCACCGACCTCACTTATTGTCACTTGGCTAATCAGGACATTCTAATGTTAACGCTGCTTAAGTCAAGCACTAAACTCTGAATTGCTTTGGACTGAATTTGGAATTCTTTGATTTGCTCATCTTCCTGCTGGCCAGTCGTATTTTTACGATGCGCGGATGTTACTTCCATTAGAAAGTAATAAAAACCCGTTGTGTTCATTTATGACTTTTAAACAACCATCGTTGATTTTGAAAATTTGTAATTTTTTTTTATTTTTTGAAAGTCACTAGTTGTATGTAGCTTTTGTTTTGTCTCTGTGATAATTTTTAGCAATGATAACAAACGCGTGTCGCCCGCAAATCCCCTAAAGGTCCACACGGGAAAAGGCCGCCATGTTGGCGTACGATGGGCGATATTCCCCTCATCTCATCGCCAATAACGTCTATCTAGTCGGGTATCGCGCGTCGTTATGCGCGCCCGTTTAGATGTGCCGAACACGTTCCGATGGTGAAGCGGGAAAAAGGGATCGACCCCCATCGTTTTTGTTCTTCCATTCCTGCGTACGCACACACTCACGCAGCGAAAGTAACGCCGAATGTGGAAATATATAGGAATGGTCCCATTGTCGCACAATGGGTCGACGCGCGTAGCATGGCCCTTTAAGTCCTCGTATAATTTAAACGATACGTGATTATCATACCCGCTTATTGTGTCGTTCGCTCGACGGCCGACGCAATTACCATGCCGCAATTTAGATACGCATATAGATAATAAATTTATGCTGGGCGTGCTCGGGAAGCATCTCTACGAGATGTCAAACTACCCCTTTCGAGGGTAAAACGGCCACTTTTTAAGCTTTAAGCACAAAAGACGCAGATAAAATGCGAAAATTTTCTCATTTGTGCATGCGGTTCAAACAACAGTTGTTGGTACACCCGGGAAGCTCCCCTTCGAAGGTGTTTAATTATTCCGCGCATGTAAGTCGATAAATTGCACCACTGTACGAGCGTACGCTCGCATTTCAGGGGGAGAGCACGCAGCCATTTTGGGCACACGCACACACATGCGGCGGCGGCAGCAGCAGCCTTCGTTTGCTCCGACGAAATTAATTTGACCCTTCGTCGGTGCGGGATGAGTTACGACGACATTACCATTAGGTGGCATATTGCCAGGCGATTGCCGACCGCTTTTGCCGGCGCGTAATTAGAAAGCCGAGTGCGCAGACGCGACAAAGTCGACGAGAATGTAATTAATAAAGAATTTAGCTGCAGCCGCGCACATCTCCAGACCGCATCGACAAAAACAAAATGTTTTTGTGTGTTTGAGATTCAAGGACGCTTTAATTACAAAAGGAATTAAAAACTGCTTGGTTCCCCCTCGTCATATTTATCAATGTCATTGGTAACGCAGCATCAGAAAATATTAAAACTCCCCTAAATATAATATATGCGTAATATCTTTTAATTAAACCGCTGGCGTTTTTAGAAGTTGCTCAAACATAACTCTCACTCTGTGGCCAATAAACAAACGGCATCGCGATAGAGCACGCGTACTTCCATAGGCACCCCTTTCTGGAGAGGGACCATTATCCCATTATGCGCCGTTAGACTATCAGATCTCATTATCTTGCACGCAGCGTGTTTGCAAAACGCGGGTTTTGCGCGTGCACGTAAAATGTGCGTTGTTCGTCGCGGAAATGGCTGCCGGGCGTCGTAAACTTCCTCATCCAGGCCTGGAAAGCAAGCTCACAAGCCACCAACATTAAGGGTCTACAGTTCATACGCAATTTCAGTAATTCCGCGTAATATTTCTCACATTCGGGGCGCCATTTCGAGGCATTCGGAATTTAGAATAATTGCGCGGCGTACATGTAATTGTATGTCGTGCAGCAAGTTAAAGACTTCATTAATAGGTCACACTTTTCGACTTGCAAAGCACATGGTAACGGTCAGAATCGAAACGCAACGTTTTTTTACGACCATCGTAAAATAAAAATATTTCCTCATTCCAACGGCATGTAAATAAGCGATTACTTTGTTCGTGTTCGCGGTGCATGCACACGCATCTGGGTAATGGTAAAAAATATAACGTATTTTTCTTTCCAAATACTGTGTCACCAAGTACCAAGTCACCAGCAGTGTGTTGAAAATAGTTTATTCGTGAATTTCGTACCCTGTAATGTTTTTTGTGGGCTTGCACCTCGGGGGTTAGTTGATAAAATGATGCAGATGAGACTTTTACGACGGCAACACGCAATTAAGCACGTTTTACGTTTAGAAATATATATTTTCAATGTAAATTTTGTGCGCGCACGCGATGACAAAAATTCGCCTCGTAA